TTTCCCCCTCTACTCCTCTCCATCTCGATATTTGGATCGTAGTGTCGTTCTAAAGGACTTGTAAAGGCAAAATTGAGCCAGGTAGTTTTGCGCTCGAGAATCTCGGAAATCCAGACGGCAAAATATTGAATTTGGGCGCGGGATCAAGTCCGGTGAAAGCAGGTAGTGAGAGCCGGGGGTGGCGTGTGGATGGGTATGGGCGGCAACGAAAGCGAGACGCGGCAAACTATCAGGGCCGGGCATCGGCCATATGCACAGCCAGACATCGGCCGGCCCGGGCGCGAAATGACAGCCGCATGCGGAAGCACGCACGCACGGGGACGACGACAAGCCTGTCCCGCGGCGCACGGCCCAAAACGGGGCCTGCCAATCGCGGAAAGCTGCCGCCTGCTGAGATTTGACTAAAAAAAATGGCTTTTAACAAAAAGTTCACAAAACGTTCAGGGGATTGTACGTTTACACCTATTTACGCAGAGACGCAGCTGTCCATAGGTGTATACCGTTCTTTCGCAGTATCGGGTCGACTACTTTTGGCTTCGGATCTAGCTTTTCAAAAAAATATAACTCGTGGAACTGTTTTAAGCGGTTTTATTATACACGCAAACGCGAAAAACCTAAAACTTCATTAAAAATTAACAAAATATCGATTTTCCGACCACACTGGCTCTTTTGACCAAAGTCTCGACCTACTTATTTAAATTTTTAAATATTTTTTTTGTAAATTGAGTAGTTATTTTTCCTAAAAAAATATTAAAACACGTCCTATTCAATTACAAACCACTCAGGCAAAAGTTGGTGGAAATGGCTTTCTTATGTTTCCGACGTTTTGAACCTCAAAGTGCTTCCTAAACAAAAATAAATGCATTTAACAGCTTCAAAAATTAGTGAGGCAAAGAACTAAGCGGGGAAGGCTTTTTGACAACAACTTTCCTTTAATTTTTGAGCTCAAAAACCGATAAATTGAGTGGTGCCATACATTTATTTTTATTTTTATTGCACGCTCTAAATTCTAAACTAATAAATGTATTTAAAAGATTCAAAAACTGTTTTTTTTGAGCATAAGCTTCACCCTAGCGAAATCGATGTGCCCCATTTTGCGCCATGGTACCGGTGGGGGCGATAAGCGCAAGCCGTTACACGTTAAAGCCCACGGAAACAACCATGTACGGGGAGGGTGGAGAATGGGCTGCGAGAGCCGGATCTCGGTGCAACAGGAACCAGTCGTACGATCGGGTAATGGGCTCTCGACCGCATACATACAGGGTGATACACCAAAAAAGTGGTATATAGGGCCGAGATTACTTTTTCTAGGTTTTTGCATAGCCATAAGCTAGCTGGGTACGGTAATTGGAAATTTCAAACATTCTGAAAAAAATTTTCTAACTATCTAACAATGAAAAACTACTAAAAGAAAAATACACTGTTTATTATTAACATAAATCCCGAAAGCCAGAAACCACAGATTTTAAAACGATTTATGAGTAAAATGACCAGAAAAATAACATTTTGGCTGTCGGTATTATGGATGTCGGGGTTATGGCTGGAATTCCTGCCTGACCCCCCCCCCTGCTATTCGTGTAGTACGGCCTAGCTGTAGCTAACAAGAAGCTCGAAAATTTGGTAAAATTTCGCAGGAGAAAACGCCGGGGGATGGAGATGTGGGTAGTAGGGGAAAAGAAGGGAGCTGAATGAGGATGAGGGGGTCAGAGAGAGAGGTGCAGAGCTGAAATCCCCTCGATTGGAGGGGGGTCAAGGACATGAGTAGCAGCCGATCGAGGGGAGAGCCCCCGCAGGCCATCCAGCCCCAACCAACACTAACCTAATAACGGGATCGAGGTTTCGGGATTAATGATTGGGAAATAGCGACAAGCTCGAGCTCAAGCTCCCGTGATATCGATTGGATCAAATTAACATCGTGGCCAAACGAGCGGAGAAGAGTTTTATCCCCTCCCGGCCCTCCAAATTTTATGGCTAGGCTTTCCGTGATCGTACAGGTGTGTAAAGTATACCAAAATGTTCGTATTGCTCTGGAGAGTATTTTGGTGTACTTTAAAAATCTGTAGAACAACGGGGAGCAGAGTACGCCACGAATTACTGGAATCTGGCGCCTAAGCAACGAACGCTCCTTTCGACGCAAAACGTATGGGGCTAAAACTTCAAGCCCTATAACTTTTAAACTAAAGCTAATCTTGAAAAAAGCTAATTCCAAGTTTTAGAGTGAAACGAGGCGGTTCGAATGATATGAGGAGTTACGAAACTAATTGCAAAATCCTAAGAATACCAGGATTAACATAACCGCTATTTCATCACACATTCAAATCGATAGTACTCGAAATACAAGGCACTACTCATTCCGGCAATAACAGTGGCCGTATGGCCTGGTTTACGCCGGTTTTTGCCCAAATCTTTCTGATCCTCGTTTGGCTATTGTTGAGCGCCCACGGCCAAGAGCCGACCCCCGACCCCGGCAAGCAAAAACGCATCGACGGTTGGTGAAAAACAGAAATCCCATCCCAACCGACAAGTTCAGCATTCCGGAAAACAGTCGGCGATCAGGACTGGGTGCCCACCCTCGACCTGTATGATCGCTTTGATTTTGTAGGAAAATTCGTGCAAAATTCCACCTTTTAATCCTGCCAGAGCGGCCTGCGCGAGATGAAGATGAACGTGCTGGAGGCGTTCCGCCACGACATCGACTGCCCGTTCATCGGCGAGGGCGAGCGGTTGTTGCGGTATTTGAATTCATTGTCTATGAATAGAATTGGGGTTCTTTATTTAGGAAAATACGATTTTTCAGGCAGCGTAAGGGCTGTCCCCGCGGAATGACGAAGAGTGGGTTCTCTTAACTAAATAGCCCGCCCTAGTGGGCCCGAGCTACCGTATCTCAGCTCCCCGTTGTCGTACAGGGTTTTAGGGTATACCAAAATGTTCGCCTTGGTCTAGATGAACGTCTTTTAGTATATTTTACAACCCTTTAGATGAACAGGCAGCCGAAATACAAAAGTTAAAATGGGGGTTGGGGTGAAGTATATTCGCTCTTTCGTCGTATTTCCGCATTTTCTAAGTCCAGAAATGGCCTAGTAACTAATATAAACTGTTTTAGTAGTATTTTTAGTCTTCTGTACCTATTTTTAACCCGAAAAACTACTAAAAACTTTAGAAAATCTTTGAAAAGTCGAAATTTTGCTCAAAATCGGCCAATTTTGGTAAAAAATCGATATTTTGATATGTTTTTGATAAAAATTTGTAGATTTTACGTTTAGGAATGACAAAAAACAATAGATATTGCGAAAGAACCACTACATTACTTCCGGAAAATCGTCGAATTCCTCATTTTCGCGGATGCGCGACAAGCTGCGGCAAAAGCGGGTGAAGGGCCGTCGGAAACGCTTCAACGCCATCCAGGACGCCAAGAAGCATGTAAATGTTTTGTGTTTTGACGAGTTTTGTCCTTTAGGTACTAAACTTTGCGACGTTCGGGATGTTGCGGGGTGACCCGCTGAAGCTGCCGCCGACCGGGGCCTCGATGCTCATCCTCGAGGGACAATGGCTGACGCTGAGATGTGCTCTGAAGAAGGATGAAGATAAGGTAATTTTTGGGTGCTTTAGCAGTAGCGGGGGGTGTTTCGAAACGGCTTTTTACTAGTCCTAAGAAACTTTACAAAATTGTGTTAAAAAATGTCAAAAATATCGATTTTACGACCAAAATGGCCGATTTTTTACAAAAGTTCCGACTTTTTGGATTTAGATAGTTTTTCTGGTTTTTTTTCTATTTTATTCAAAACGCTATTAAAAACTTCTTATTAAGTTAATAGACATTTATACACTCATACAACAAGATTCGACGTGGTATACGTTTCCAGAATCAAACAGTCTGGGTCGTAAATGGCAACACGATCGAGCCGAACTACTACGAGTGGCGCATCAAGGCCGAGGCGGACATGTTCGAGGTGGGTCTTCAACTGACACTTCCAGTAGGGGTTTTTCTAGGTTTTCCCGACCGTCCTCGACGACGCCGGCATTTTCGAGTGCCTCTACGAGGACCAGCTGCGCGGTTTTGCCAATATCACGATCGTTACCCGATGGGTAAGCGTTTAACTTTGGATTCCAGCTCGAATTCTAGGCGGCCATCTGGATGGGCTACCAGAATTACATGACGGTGATGTGCGTGTTTTTGCCGCTGTGGGTGGCACTCCTCGGCAGCAACTTTTTTGCGCCGCCACCGGTATGACCTCGTTGTACGATCGAGCAGATTTTTGGCTTCAGAAGTTCAAGAAGAAACATGGGAAATGGGGCGACGCCTACATCGAGCATCGCCTGAACGACAATGTATCTAAGGCAAAGGTAAGCTGGTATTCTTGCTAAATGGCCAAAATTATGGTAAAAAAGAATTTAGAAATAGAAAATATAAGTAATAGAAAACGTAAAAACAACCCTTATACCAGGAATCGATTGCCCGCAAAAAGTTTGGCGACGACCTCGAGAAGCAGAAGGAATTCCTGCTGAGAAGCCAGTACGGGCCAGCCGGTGAGTCGATTTAAACCAGAAAAAACCTTTTACTACTAACTGCTAAAAAACCACTACAAAGTTTAAAAATACGCTAAAAAATTCTCTATTTTTCAGAAACCGCCGCGATCAACCGGCGCATCATCCAGACAATTCTCGACGGCTGCCGTTAACCCCATTTCCCCCACTTTTTTACGTTAATATTCAACAATGAAATACAATCTTTATTCGTCGAATAAAATGTACAAACAGACAATGGCACTAAAGCGTTGAGGTATCTGGGGGCTGAGGTATCTTTGGGGTGGATTGAGTGAGATCTATGAAATATGTACACGCGGAAGTGCAAAATAATATAGCATTTGTTCGAGATCATTCTAATGTCGGTGCTGAGGTCATATGGCTAAAATCCCGTCTATCGATAGACCCTGGTGTGGAGCAAGAGCAGGAGCAAGAGCTGCTCATGCTCGTTTAGCTTTTTCTTTGTACATGATTTAGTTGTCGTTCAGCCACTTCATCCAATTCTCGTCGAGCGGCTCGTCGACCGGTGGGTCGCGTTGCTCCAGGATATGTTTCTGGGGCTTCGGGGTTGAGCCTGAAAGGTATTTTTATTATGGGTTTTCGATACTTTAGATGTTTTTCCCTGATACATAGCGTTTTTCTACTCACCGGTGAAGCGGAACGGCGTCTGCCGGAAGCCCATCGCCTCCGTCAAAACTACGTTGATGCCGATGGCAATTTCCTTGGACGCCGGCAACAAGAGATCCTTTTCCAGGATGAAGCCGTATTCTGAAAATGTATTTTAGAATGCCAAACTTCTCGCGCTTACCTTGTGTCACTGGCCGGACTTCGATCGTGTAGGCAAATTCGGGCTCCAGCTCGCGCTCCACCCAATCCATCGAAGAGCCGGTGGAGGTATCTGTAAATTTTTTATTTCCGGAATTTACTTGAGAACGCCGGGTGTTAGCGCCCAAAGTTACTTCTTAAACTTACAGAGAGCGTCGGCGGGCGTAGCGTGACCATAGCGGGTACCGTTATACGCGTAAATGGCGTCGATGGCCTTCTGCGCAACGTAGATCTGAAAATATTCGGTTTATTGAGGATTATGGGCTTTTTCAAAGTCCATAAATACCAAGAACTGCCCCGAAAAACCCACCGTGCGCTCGACGTTTCGCGTGTAGGTGTTCTGAGCGTAGGCGTAGGGGTAGAGCCACAATTGGCCGTGAGAGTGGAGCGTGATGTAGGCCTCAAGAGCCGGCAAAGTTCGCAGCCAACGACTGTACGTCCTGCAAGGGTTTTTTTTGGTTTGTTTCTCACGTTTATCACGTATTTTTCTGCTTTTTTTTGCATGTTAGCATTTGTGGGAAGATTTTGCTAGGCCGTACCTGGTCTCGGAGGCGCTGAATGGTGATGGTCCGGCATAAACATCGCTGCACGGATCCTGGCTGGCGGAAAAGGCGAGGTCCCAGTTGCGATTCAGGTCGACGCCCTCGCAGCAGCGGCCTTCGGCAGTGCAGCGCTTTGGCGAACGGTTTTTGCGCCAAAGACGGTGCTGAAAAAGACAAAATATTAAGCGTAAAGTTACTAAAAAAAGCATTTTTTATAATCAAAACAAAATTTTCACTACACAGCTTCCCAAATCCTTACCTTAAAAGGCTGCTCATCCGCATCCCAAGTAAAACTAAACCCATCGGGGTTCAGCACCGGGATGATGACAATGTTGAAGGCGTCCACCAGCGCCCGAACTTGCAGATCGCCCTCCGACAGTCCGTTGCTGTACTAATTTCAAAATTAGGTATTTGAATTAGGAAATACCTGCTCGACGAGGAAATAGGCCACGTGGATGGCCGTCCATTCTCGGGCGTGGATCCCCGAATCGATGACGACGTACGGGTTCGCAGGGTTTACGCCAAACTAAAGCAAAATATTGAGGCAAATTCATCAGAATAATTATAGAAATACCTAGAAATTCACCGTCAATACATAGAAAAGTTTTTACCTGGATTCCAAGAATCTGACGGCCCTCTTCGCTGGTGCCAACCTGCAGCAGCTTCGTCGTCTCCTTGTGCTGCTTGGCCACCTAAAGCCCAAAAAAGTTATGGAATTCTCAAAAATAACTCACGCTGCGCAAGAATGTTTCAATCTGCTCTAGCGAATAGTAGTCGCCGCTTCGCAGGGGCTCATCTTTTGGCGGTAAATCAGGGAATAGCCTGAAAATACGAATATAAAAAAGGTCCAAAAACGCGAATTAAGGTATCAAAAATTTAAGAATATAACTCACGCATTAAAATGGTTGTAGATGGCCTCGTGGGACGATGGGGGCGCTAGTTCTGGCGAGGACACTGGGGCGCTAAAAAATTCAGTTTTTTCGACGTTCAAAAATTTGGTTTCGGGCGCAAAATTTCTTTTCTTCTTTTCTTTCTAAAAACCGTAAAATACCAACCTATTAATTAATCTGATGAGAAGCGGAAGACATGCCAAATACGGAATCATCTGGCCGACAGGGTGGGGGAGGCGAAATAAGGTTGAAAACCCTGAAAAGTGTCGAAATCGTGGATTGTTTTCCAATGCCGACAATAGTAGAAAAAGTGAAAACAATGGCGGGTTAGCAAAGAAGATCGTCTGCTGATTGCCGAAACAGGATCTCTGGCCGGGGCGGGTCACGCGCTAATGGTGGGCAATAAAATCCGAGTTGAAGTTTTTAGCAAAAAAAGGAGGGGGACATTGATGGTGGAACTGTTTCCGGGTTTGGCGAAGAAAAAGCCGCGAGTTTTGTAGACCTATCAAAATGGAAGGTAGAGATCGATAGCAATCTGCAGCGTGAATGTGGGGGAAACGGAGAGCGATTGGATCATTTCCGAAGTTGGTCGGTGCGAAATGTGGCAGGATGTGGGTGATTTCAAGCGGGTACACCCGGTTGCGCCCCCTCCCACCCGGATTTGATTGATAGCTGCCGCACCACTCGTCAATAACAACTTTTCGTCGATGATACGCGTGGTGGGAGCCGGGTTTGAGAGATCAGACAATTTAGTCTTTGGATGGGCAGATCTTTGGCGATGGGGATGGGGAGGTGGAAGCTAGCGCGGTTTGAACGGGTGATCGTGCATTGGGAAAAAGTGGAGCGGTTTGAGTGACGTGCAGGAAATTGCATGGACTGTCCGTTACGTCGAAATGAGAAATCGGGTTTTGCAGAGAGATTGACAAATCAAAAGGTCAAAGGATCGAAATATTGGGAGCCAGCCAGGGATGGTCGCCGAATTTAGGAAAACATTTAGGCACGGAAAGGTGACAAAAATGTTTTGGAATAGATGAAAAACAGGGCAAGCTAGCAGTGCTTTTTTGGGACGAGATTACATACAGGGCAAACTAGCAGTGATATTTTGGGGAATTTTGGGATGTAGCGGGGCAAGCTAGCAGAGATAATTTGAGACGAGGTGACATAAAATGCAAGGTAGCAGAGACCATTTGGGGCTAAATGGAATACGGAAAGCTAGCAGAGAGCATTTGCGAAGGGAGGACAATTCAGGGCAAACCAGCAGAGATCAAAGGCTTTTTCAGGATAAGCCTTGCCGATTTTTTTTGTGAAGATCAGAAAAAGGCAAGCTAGCAGGGATTCTTTGGCGGAAAGGCTAACGGGGGGGGACAAGCTAGCAGAGATTTTCGGGAGAAGGGACCACAGACTTCTGCATCACGCAAAGAATCGCCGGTTAGGTAATCTTATGAGCTATCCCTACGCTAAAAAACAATAGGCAACCCTACCAACCGGATACCCCCATCCCTTATATAACCTTCCCACTTTACAATAAAGCTATTCATAGAAACGGGAGGATAAGTGCATTCCCTTCGCCTTATATACGATGCCCCTGATCTATTTTCGTTTGACGATCAATCATCGCCGGGCTCCTTTAAAGGTCTATGCCCGCCCGGGCGAGGAAGACGGAACACTGCGCGCGCCCAGATACACGTCAACTGGAAGTGATAGCACTCTGTTAGATTGGATAACTGACAAACAGCTGAAAAGATAGACAAACACGAGGCGATGGGGGTGTCCCCGTGTGAGAATGACGAGGTGGCAAATATTATTGGGGAGGAGGGTGGGAAAGGGAATCGAGCACCAGTGAGGGAGTACAACAATGATACACGGCATGCAGAAAAACACAGGCGGACCCCCGTCCGCGGGTCAACATTTTAGGCAAACATCCCCGAACACGCCTATAAATACGAGGAGCTTAGCAGTAAAAAAAAACTATGAAAGAAAGAAAACAAAATAAAAAGAGAGCCAACATACTTTAATATGTTTATTGGGGGGAAATACTTTATGTGAAGACTATTTGGTTACTGTTTTAGTAATATACTCTTTCAAGACTGTTCTACACTCACTCTCCTCTTATTTCAGCCAGGATCTAACAGTAGTTCATTATCCTCGTGTTTTTCGGGTCCTGATTTTTTATAGCCCTGTATAATTCGATGAAAAGAAAACAATTAAGTTAAATGTTTAGTTACGCTCACAAGTTTTAGCTGGTATTTCTGCTACTTCAGGGCCTTAATCGACGGATTCGACAACGACTTCTTCAGAAGGCGTCAGCTTCATCTTTGTAAACCTTGCTTAATCTGTAATAACTATCTTTATTTGCAAGCAGATCTATCACTATGCTCTTTTCAGGCTTTTATAGTTTGTTTTGCAAGTTACCGGTGAAATAGTTAGCTCGAACGTCAACCTAAAACTTGCCGGTCCTCAACAAAACTCCAACTGAAACTGAAGACATAAAGCATAAAGACAAGAAAAAACTAATAAACAAAAACATTTCCCCCGCTCAAGAAAGTAACATACGATAGCGATAACTAGTAGCCAAATCCTTTCATAAAAGTATTTACCGAATAAACGTGTTCAAGTATATTGGCTTTGTTTAAAGTAGTATATGGATAGTGATACGCATAATACAAATAGAGAAAAAGCCCGGAAAAAAACACGAGGATACGAACTAGTGTTAGATCCTGGTTGAAATAAGAGGAGAGTGAGGGTAGAACAGTCTAATGAAAGGGTATGTTACTAAAACAGTAACCAAATAGTCTTCACATAAAGTATTTCCCCAATAAACATATTAAAGCATATTGGCTCTGTTTTTATTTTGTTTTCTTTCTTTCATATAGTTTTTTACTAAGTTAAGCTCCTCGTATTTATATGGCGTGTTCGGGGGATGTTTGCTAAATAAGTTGACCCGCGGACGGGGGTCCGCCTGTGTTTTCTGCATGCCGTCAATGCATACACGGGCCGATGATCAAAACCTTTTCGGGGTTGGAAAGCGGCCAAAAAGTTACTTTTTTCGTGCTGGATTGCGTATTGTAGCGTGCAGACTTTTTTTAATAGATTTTAGAAGACTGTAGACTGTCGAAAGTAATGAATAGGCATGACCTGATGAACAGAAAGCTACAAGCTACTTTCCGTTCTATCGCGTATTCTAGAGTACTAATTATGTTTTTGCATAGTTTATCAGTTATACTACACCCGTAAAAACGATGATAAAATATGCGCTGATCATCAAAAATCCTTTTTTGACCGGGAAAAGAACCAAAAACTTACCCGTTCCGTTTCAAGACCGCGTATTGTAGCGTGT